CGGCCGGCGGCCCCCTGCGTATTCCTTTAGAAATAACCCCGCTCTCGGGTAGGCTGGGGAGAGGTGTGCGCTGCATCCCGCCCCCGAGAGCTGCCACGGCACTCTCCGACTTTCCAGGTGCTCCACTGGGCTCAGAGCAACGCAGATTTTGTTATTCCCCTCTACTGCTTCGACCCGCGGCACTACCTGAGCACCCACTGCTACGGCTTCCCAAAGACAGGGCCCCATCGGCTCAGGTTTTTGCTGGAAAGCGTGAAGGATCTAAGGGAAACGCTGAAGAAAAAAGGAAGGTAATTGAGAAAGCACCATGCAAATAACATGCCTATTTTTATTTTCCTACCTGTTTTCAACACGTATCTGCGCTGTGAGTCAAATCATGTCAGATACTCTGGGCTCTGATGATCGCTTATTTCAGGGAGCCACAGCCCTTCTGTCAGGTACAATAAGGTCCCACAGATAGCCCCTGTTCAGATGACCTGCTGTGCCATCTGCAAGGGAGCGAAGAGCCATCCAGGCTACATGCCATGCAGGGTTTTGTTTTCTTGAACTTGGATACCACAGCTGGGTGTCATCCTTGAGTGCTTTGCCCAGAGTTGTGACGACCGGCGACATGAATGGCGGTCTTGCCAGATCTGGGCAATGACACTAGTCACTGTGGCATGCCTTCCTTGTCCCTAGTGAGTTTTTCCTAGGAGTTGGCTTGAGACAGACCAACATGGATCGTGGCTTGTGAGACTGGAGAGTTAAGTTTGCTCATGCCCTGTCCTGCTAAACCAAATCTCTTTGGTAGGCTGCGCTGTGGGAGGGGGTTCTTCAGAGATTCCTCCTTCATTATGCCTTCAGAAACCGTAACTGGGGTAGACGAGGGCCTGAAGGTCTACATCCTGAAGCATCCATTACCAGATAACATCTGACTTTGTTAGCAGCAGATGCATCAGTCAGCCAGCCTGTCTTTTCCCAGAGCAGCATAACTAACGGTGGCAGCAGAAGCAGGAGGCTCTGGGTTTGCAGTGCTGTGTGGACTGTGCAGATGATGAATGTTATAGAAGACTGAAAGAACTGATCAGTGGGTAGCTGCAGCCATGCCCTGCAGTGAACAGGTTCAGAGCTGCTTGAATGCTGCTGTGCTGTTGTCAGTGGCTGACGAGATTGGTCTGCAGCGAGAGATGTGTGATTGTGAAGAGCCACGCTAAGACCTAGGCTCCGTTTCCATAACCGTAAAGTATGTTCTTAATGCAGTGGTAGACAGAAATCTCCACATCCAGTCTGTGGTGTTCCCTGTGGGCAGCTTGGTCACTGCTTTTCTTCGGGAAGTAAAGGGAACAGCTCACTTAGCAGCATCCCTTGCTCCTGCCTTCTTCAAACCCAGCCCATCTTTGAAGAAACTTTTCAGTTGTGCTTTAAATTATTTTGGCAAAACCACTGTATTACCCCTTCAAGAAATTCTTTGCCAGCATAGGCCTCTGTTAGATGACACTGTAGTGTGTGCGGTGAGAAAGGGTGAGAAAGAGAGAGAAAGAGAGGAAAAGGGACAGAGTCACGTATGAGGCACCTCACAGAGCTCTGCACCCACCTCTGACAAACTTTCTCACCACAGCTTCATTTTTGGTCTGGTGCCCTGGGTACACAGCTGGGCAGTTGGTGAGGTTGCAAGATGGGAGGGAGGTTTTGTTGACTCTTACGAACACAGAACATTCAGAGGAAAGAATTCCTCCGAATACTCCCACATGAAAGTGGAGAGGGGTCTGCCCACAGGCCTCCACTACCTGTGAAGGGGATTGAAAGAGGAATCAGTTCTTGAATCTCAGCCTTAGTGTGTCAGGATGAACAGATCTGACAGATTTACTTTTAGGTAACAGCCTGGCTTTCTGCCCAGTCATCCTTTCTAAGTCATCCGGGATGGTAGAAACATGTTTGACAGAAACTGAGCCCCAGAGTCTTACAAACTGTTCAGTGGGTCCTGAAAAATGTGGGCTAGTCAAATCCTGTCTGTTTGCCTCCACATGCTGTCCTTGCTCCATAGACAACTAGTGCATGGGTGCCTGGGCTGGGACTAGGGTCTTCTGTACACATAAATAACAGTAACACCAAACTGAATTCAGGCCTGTATTTTGTGTTTGCAGTACCCTGGTTGTGAGGAAGGGGAAGCCAGAAGATGTGGTCCGTGATTTGATTACTCAGTTGGGCTCTGTCAGTGCTGTGGCTTTCCATGAAGAGGTAAGGAAAATGTTTGAGTGACACTGTTAAGAGATAAAATTAGGTTGTGGGGGTTTCTTCCACAACCAAATGGTGATGCAGATCCTGTGCGTTCGGAGCCTTTCTTGTCTGTGGTATTGTTAACCTTGGGGAAACTGGCTAGCTGCTGGGATGGGGCTGGTGTACGTGTCTGGGTGGGAGCCCTTGCTGGATGACAGCAGCTGTTTGTGATGGATCACTTGCAAGTGCTGTGTCTTGAGGAAAAAGGAGTTTCCTGCAACTGGCATTTTGGGTCAGCTGAGTCCATTTCTCCTTCTGTTTGCATCAAGCTGCCTTTTCCTGTCCCCTTCCTTGCACAGGGCACTAGTGCCAGGGGGCATATTGGATCGAGTGTAGAGAAGGCGCACGGTGAGCTGACAGCACCCATATTTAGGCAGTTGCCCACCAGTGTGTTGAAGAATGAAAGACGAGTCCAGTCCTGGACCGCCGACGGGGTTGGCGAGTCACTGACCTGTCTTCACTGAGCTAAGTGGCTGATCCAGAGCCTGCTGAATTCAGTGAGGGGCTCTGGATCCAAACCACTGGGTCTGGAGGCTTTGGGCACACACCCACACATGTGTGTATGTACATGGATGCACTCGGTGTTAGCAGAGTCTGGACCTCAGAGCTGTCTAATGCAGGAAGCACTCGGAGCCCTGCAAGCTGCCAGGCCTAAGGCCCTTGTAACTTGACAGCCTGCACATCCCATAGTGCCTTGTTCCACGCAGTGCTAAGAACCACGGAGGATCAGACAAAAGGCTTCATCTAACTCCATAACCTTTTTCCTGACAATGACCAATAACAGATGCCCAGAGAAGACCATGGGAACAGGACAAATCTGTAAAGATACTTCCCCTGAATACTTTCCCAGCCTCCAAGGCTCCAGTGGCTCAGGGACTCCTTGAAACAGGAATGCTGTCCTGATATTCAGTAACCCTCAGTGGGTTTCTTTCACAGATATTTATCCAGTCACCTTTCCAGTTCATGCAAACTTAAACACCCTGCATCAAGGAGTTCCTTATTCTGGCATTGGCATTACTAATGGAGAGTGAAAACACTTGTTGGGTTTGGCAGGAGGAAATACTTGGAGATTGTCTGTGTGCACCTCTCTCTAAAGAGGTGAAGCTAAATGTGGAGGTGAGGGAAGAGGGCAAGACCAGGGACCAGGGTCTGTGTGCATGCGGGAGCTGAGGCTGTGCAGCTGTGGCCTCACTGCGTTTTGTTCTCCCTAGGCCACGCAGGAGGAGCTGGACGTGGAGCAGGGGCTGTGCCAGGTGTGCAGTCAGCACGGGGTGAAGATCCAGGCGTTCTGGGCATCTACACTGTACCATCGGGACGACCTTCCCTTCAGGCCTATTGCCAGGTGGGCTGCTCCATGGTATCGCTCACTCCTCCACTGAACTCTCTGTTTCTCGCTCCAGTGAACTGCTCAGGAGGGATCTTAAGTCATTTGATCCCAGGGGGAAGGGACCTGTTAGTCCACCTGCACGTATGGAACAGTGCTGTCCTGCTCATACACGTCAAGGGGAAGGGGCACATTCACCCCTCTGTGCTAGCAGGACTTACTGCAATATGCCTAAAGCCGAGGGGTTTGTCCGACCATTTGTTGAGGGCCTGATTTCTCCCTTCCACCAGTTTGGACACTCAGTCTGCAGAGCCCAGAGTCCTTGTGACACTGGACTGCAGTGCTTCGTTACCCCACCTGGCTGAATGCAGCTGCCTATGACAGTAGCCCTTTGAGTGTGGACTCTTCGTGGCTCCCTCGATAGTCACTTGAGCCATAGTTGATGGAGTTGAGTGATTCATGGTATCCTATAGAAAACATATAAAATAGGACAGAAGAGTCAGGCCATGAAAACGCCAATTTCTCTCCATTGAGCGAAATGGCAGCAGGAGGCTGTGAATTTTTACATTGAGGTCAGCCTTGTGGGTAATCAGAAGGTGGATGAGATAAATCTGACCCTCATGGATTGCCCCATCAGGGGACACCCTAAATTGAAAAAGCACCATTTGCATCAGAAGCAGAAAGAACTTGGGTGAAGGACTGAACTTCGAATTGCTGCTACCCCCAGGGGCATCTGCCTCTGATGGACTGTACAAACGTGCATCTCAAATACGAGCTCTGCCCTCAGGAGAGCGCAGCCAGCAAAGCTACCTCTCCATCTCTGGAAAGCTACCCCTCCATCTCTGGAAAGCTACCCCTCCATCTTTGGAGGCTGCTGTGTGGAGGGGCCAGGGCAGCCACCCTGCGGAGATCTGACTGCGCTGTAATCCGTGCAGGTTGCCTGATGTCTACACCCATTTCCGAAAAGCTGTGGAATCTGAGGCGAAGGTCCGGCCGACCCTGCGGATGGCGGATCAGCTAAAGCCTCTGGCTCCAGGGGTGGAAGAAGGGTGTATCCCTACAATGGAGGATTTGGGGCAGAAGGGTAAGAAAACTTAATTTGGCCGTTGCTCCCATGAAATCCTACTTAGAGGGGTCTCTCACTGAGAATCAAAACATGGAGGCCTCCCCAAAGCAGTGGTCGCCCTTCAAACTGTAACCAAGCCTCTGTTCAGGTAAATGCCCTGCGTGGAGGAGCTGCCCTGCAGCTGGGTAGAAAACATCCTCTTAGTAATTTTTAATAAGTTTGATGTGGGCCTTGTTTTAAAAGACCAGGCCACAATCTTTTATGTCCCCAAGCAGACATCCCTACTACATGCTGAGCATCCCTAGATTTTAGGCTCCCTACCGTTGAGATGGTTTCCAACGGAATAACAAGGTGGTGGTGTTTTCTGTGGCAGATACTGTGACTGATCCACGAACAGCCTTCCTCTGCAGTGGAGGAGAGACCCAGGCTTTAATGAGACTGCAGTATTATTTTTGGGACACGGTAACTTTTACATTTCCTTCTCTACATCCTCCCCCTCGTACATACGGCTGTGCAAGTGGGTGAGGCTGCAATTTCACTTCCTAATGATATTTTCTTAGCTCCTGTATAACACTTTACAAAGGGGGGAATTAGCATTATTTCAGTTTTTCAGAGAGAAAAACGAAATAAAAAAGAAGTCATCCAGGCACTGGGAATGTAAGCCAAATACTTAGGAACCTAGTTTAGTGGCCATCCCTCTTAAGTCTTTTTTTCTATCAACTTTTGGGAATTGGGACAGTTTTTTACGTCCCTTACCTTGATTTGCCCTTTCTACTCTCTGGTCCCACATCATTAGCGATGCAGTTCCTCCATTTTGGAGGAGTGAAAAGTGGCCCGAAGGGCTGCAGCTGCAACTGGGGTGAGGAACAACGGACCCAAGCTGCTGCCCGCAGTTAAAAATAGTAGGAGGTTCCTGGTAGTTTTGTTTAAAAACTTGCAGCCGATAATTACAGCCACTTCTTGCTCCCTTGCTTTGGTGGAGTGAAGCAGCTGATGACTGCATTTTGTCTGTGCATCCTGACCGTTTTTGAACTTTTTCCTCGTGAAGTTTAAGGAACTGCCTTACATTTGCCTTGGGTGAGTTCAGATGAAGACACTCGTGCTGATTCCCCACAGCATCAGACCCTGCCCAGCTTTGTGGCTGAAGGAGGTGGCATCTCTACAGCTGAGATGGGTTAAGAAGTGTGCCCTGCCCAGTGCCCTCACTGGGACAGCCCCTGGGGGGGTTCTTTCAGCTGTGCTACAGAAGTTCCCACTCTCCCTTGCTGTTGAGGAGCATTGTCTGCGGCTTAACCCCACGAGGAAGCTCAGCCCCACGCATCTGCTCCCTCACTCCCTGCCAGCCGGATGGGGGAAAGAATCGGAAGGGTAAAAGGGAGAAAACGCGTGGGTTGAGATAAAGACAGTTTAATGGGTAAAGCAAAAGCTACTCACACAAGCAAAGCAAAACAAGGAATTAATTTACTACTTCCCATCAGCTGGCAGGTGTTCAGCCATCTCCAGGGAAGCGGGGTTCCATCACACGTAACGGTTACTTAAGAAAACGACATCGCTCCGAACGTTCCCCCCTTCCTCCTTCTTCCCCAGCTTTTATTGCTGGGCACAATGTCATATGCTGTGGTATATCCCGTTGGTCACCTGGGGTCAGCTGTCCCAGCTGTGTCCCTTCCCAACTTCTTGTGTCTCCCCAGGCTCCTTAGAAAAGGCCTTGAGGCTGTGTGAGCACTGCTCAGCAATAACAAACATTGCTGTGTTATCAACGCTGTTTTCATCACAAATCCATAGCCCCACACGAGCTACTATGAAGAAAATTAACTGTCCCAGCCAAAAACCAGTACAAGCGTGCATAGCTTCTACTCTTGATCAAGCATTAATACAATCAGTGCTGGAAAACCTGTTCCTTCTGTTTTGTTATGCAAACATTGCCTTCCCTGGCGAGCTAAACCAGCCCTTTAGCAATTTGTAACCTGTGCAGGGAAGGGGATCGGGGAGCGATCAGGCCTCTGTGTCCTCTGCGTTGTCAATGGAGCGCTCAGAAAATGGAAGATCTGCACCCTGCTGTAAATAGGGGTGGCCCAGAAATAACAGTGATCAGGATTCCTGCAGCTGAGTGTTGGGTGCTGTCAGACAGGGTGGTCCTCAAATGTAAACAAACGGCCACATGGACAAGGGATGATTGATCCCGAGTCAGGCGGGTACGGGCAGGGAGCAGCACGGCCAGCTTCGTAGTGCTCGTAGAAAGAAATGTGCTACAGGCTGAAGAGGGAGCACAGCTTGTGACACACATCCCAGAGCTATAATGAAAGCTGCTGCCTGATTAATTCCTGTGCACTGAAGGCAGCAATTTGGCAGCTCTGTAATCCTTGCAGGCAGCCATGAGAGGGAGCCCAGCTCTGCCAGATTGCCCTAAATATGAAAGAAAACGTATTTAGCAGGTTGCACATACATAAAGTATTAAAACCTTTTGTTCTTTTGTTCGCCCAGAACCTGGTTGCATCTTACAAGGAGACTCGGAATGGACTGGTGGGAATGGATTACTCAACTAAATTTGCACCATGGTAAAGAGTTTTGTTGTGAGACTGGAAGCTCCTTCTCTGCTCCCATCCCAAACTGATGTTACCTGTCTGATGAGTGCTCACTGGGCATGCGTGGGGGTCTAGGTGTGATTCCTTTGCCCTATTTGTTGGGGTGCAGCAGCCTCAGAGCTGCTTTTTATTGTGCTTCCAGGCAGCGATTCCCCGGGAACATTCCTGCAGTTAGGAATTGCTGAAGTGTAGCAATACTGTGCCAAGAGCCCAGTGTGCTGGGAGCAGCGATGTTGACAGGGTGCTGGACAGACACACGACTTTGGCTTTGTGCTCTCTGGGGTGGTTGAGAGCAGCCAGGGAAGAAGCGTTTCAGCGTGTCGATAGGGCTGTAGCAGAACTCGATCCAATCCTGGTTTGCTAAATACTGTGGGGCAAGTCACCTCAACTCACGGCCATTCCATTTTCCTGGGGGGTGAAGTGACACTTCTGACTATTCCTGTTGCAAAAGGATCTCTTGTTTGGGTAAATATGATGATTTCTAGTTAGGGGTTTCTGTCTCTGGTGCTGGAAGGGGCAGAGTTAATTCCGGACTGAAACTGCAGCGGCAGAACCCAGTTCAGCCTAATGCTGAGAACATCTGGAGTGTTTTCCCGACAGAATTGCAATGTGAAACAATTTTCTGAGGCTGTTGCAGGTCAGGATTTCTCCTTGTCAACTGGCTTTGTGGTTTAATAGTTGCAGTGGATGGCTCCACCTGGTGGCACTTTGGGATGCCGGGACCACCGGCACTGCAGACGTTCTTTATCGGTGGCCTCCACTCGAGTTTTTCCAAGCTGGCTGTTTGCCCAGAGCAGCCAGTCCTGATCGGCCTGTCCCAAAGAGTTCCTCTCTCAGATGATCGAAATCAGAGCATGCAGCCACCTCCTACCGGCCATTTCTAAGTGTTAGGCTGGTCAAGAATTAAGGAAAAACTCTTCAGGTCCTTTCTTCCTGTTTTCCAAAATTCATCAGAACAGCAAATGTTGCCACGAGCCCTAGTGGGAAATTGCAGTAAAATACGTTTTTAGGAAAAGCAAGGTAAAAGTTGTTCCTTATCCCCCTTTGCGATGGGGCTGGAGTCTACAAGCTCTTTCCTGTCTTGCACAGCACTGATTTGGAACAAATGGAAGGAGCCCAGTGGGTTGAAATGCCAGAGCTGGGCTTAGTTCCCTAGTTTTCCTACTCTGCCTGAGATTTCCAGCCAGTCACTTGCCTGCTGGGGTTGCTCAAATGAGACACTTAAGGTGCTGCAGGTATAGGAGCCCTGGGCATGCGATAAGTAGGTTTGCAGTAAAAGTGGGGCTGTTGAACAGCTAAGGTGGCTGATGTAGAGGTTAACATTTGAGATCCGTTTCTGGGTTTGTGATTGGTGCACTGAGCCACCCGCTGATCAAAGTCTTTTAGGCAAAACTCGTCAAACTTCTGTAAAATGATATATCTCAATAGCTGGGAGACTCCTAACAGTCATACACTGGGACGGGGAAGGATTTTGATTCTCAGATTGCAGAGTTGCCAAAAAGAAGTCATACGACTTGACTGGGGGAAGTCAGTGGCAGAACTGCAAACGGAGCAAAGTTTTCAGACGACAACTAGACACAAAACTGCCCCTCAGCTCCCTCTGCACAGACATCAAGCTCTCAGTCCTGCGTTGCATTCAGGACATCACTCTTCTGCTTTCAGGCTGGCGCTGGGCTGCATTTCACCTCGATACATCTATGAGCAGATCCTAAAGTATGAAAAAGAGAGAACGGCAAATGAGAGCACGTACTGGTATGTCCCTGCACGATCCGCGTGGCTTGTTTAATCTGAAAAGGAAACCAGCATCTCATGCACAGGAGAGAGTGATTTGTTAACTTTCTTCTTAATTAATGTTTGTTTTTCCTGTGCCTGCTGTCTGGTTCCGCTGGGTTGCGTTGCAGTTCTGTTTCGGTCTGGATTTATTAGTCTGCCTTTGACACCCAGAGGCTTTAGGCGCTTTATAAGTAAAGATTATTAATGCTAGTTGTCATTATTGCTGCTGGGAAATTGCAGTTCATGATTTTTAGAACTGCTGTCTGTAAATCAGCACCATCCCTCTCTGTATTGTTATCACAGGCTAGGTGAGAAGGAAGAAGAATGATTTACAACTAAAAGCCTAAGGGTTTCTCACGCCAAGGACATGAGCAGGGTTTCACCCCAAAGGCCCAGTAACTGTGTGACTTGTACAAATCCCGTGGTGATGGAAGGGCGTCTGGCCACAGGCCAGCAAACGGCCCCGTGCCTGCTCAGCTGCCCGGCCGTGACCACAGCACCATAGCAAAGGGGAAGAGGGGACTGGGAAGTGGGTTTAATGCATCCCACCTTCCCACCCGCGCTCTTCCTCACCTCACTGCTGGCTGCTCACCTGCCTGCAGTTGTCCTGAAGGAGTCTGGGGGACAGCTGAGGTCAGTGTATCTGTCGCCGGGCTGGCCTTGAACTTGCTCACGCACTCTGATCTGCCGAGCCACCGGGAATTAGAGCCTGGCAGGGAGCTCTTATGGAGAAGCAGGTTCATGTTAGGGCCTGGCCTAACATTAGACCTGGATGGGAAAAAAAACCCAAACCAAAAAGCCTGTGCAAATTGTAGAACTGTGTTTTCATACGGGTTTGTTACATTTGCAAAATGGCAAGCAGCACAGTGGCTGGTGAAGAACAGGCAGAACATTGCCAACAATTCCAGCCAAAATCCTCAATTTCATTAAAATTAAAATGACAGATAAAATATCAACCTTTTCCCTGTTGAAGTGTATGTTTGTTTTTTTTTTCTCCTGAGACAATTAAGAGAGGAAAGATTTCAAGAAATGAACATACTCATATTTTGCTGTCTAATAGTCAGCCAGCCTACCTGCAGCTGGGATGCTGTGGTGATCTGAGCGTTTTAAAGTGATAAATAATGATAAAAAAGGAGCTGTCAAGCTCCCAGGCGCTTCAGTCAGTTGTACAGTGAAGTACAGGTCGTGGTGGCTGCATAGGGACTGATTGAACCTCAGTATCATGACGGTAGTTTTTAGCATTTGGACAGTGTCCTGTTTTGTAATTGGATTTTCCAGAAAGATCTTGTAGCCTAAACATCAGCTGAGCAGAATATTTCCAATATGCCAGAGAGCTGAAGCAGCTCTCAGAGCCCAAGGTGCCATCATTTTATAAGAAGCTCTTTTTATATAAGAGTTTTTATATAAAACTGTCTTATTTTCTGCGGGCCTAGCACCTGATCTCATAAGCTACAGCACTGTAAACCATTTTGAAAGGTGCCTTTAAGCCCCTTACAAAGGTTATTGCTTAAATCAACGCAAAGCTCTTAGGAATGTGCTGACATGCCTGCCGAAGCAGAAGTGTGAAGCTGAATCAGGTCCTCGCCCTGCTCTTTGGAGAATTACGTCCCAGTAGGGACACAGGAGAAACAGGTTTTCTGAAATTCTGCTCCTACACTGGGGCTGAGGAAAGCTTCCCACGTGATTCATGCACAGTTTGCTTTCACTGCAGCCATCCAGGTGCGAGCTAGATATGTGGACTGGGGGCACAAACTGGGACCATGAGAAGGTCTGTGAAATCGCTTGTTGTGAATAAACCTCATGGTGTTCGTGATGGGTGCTACGGAAACAAAATCCTATTGCAGTAGTTTTGTCTGCCCCACAGTGAAATACAGACATGGCTTTGTGTTTCAGGGTCCTGTTTGAACTGCTGTGGCGGGATTACTTTCGATTTGTGGCCCTGAAGTATGGCAGAAGGATTTTCTCATTAGGAGGTGTGTATGGATCACTGTATTTGGAGAAGACAGGTACAGTCTTACATCAGAGAACGTACGAGAAGAGGCTGTGGGCATTCTGTTGTACTTAGAGCGCTTGTGGCACCACCCTGGGGTGTTGCTGGAGACTTACTGTTAGCACAGCAGTGCCTCAACACCACGGTGCTGGACACTGTGTAGACACTGATTTGCCCCAAATCCGCTTGGATACCAGGAGTATTATTAACACGTGGCAGTGGGAAACAGCAGCACAATGAGGGTAAAGATGCTGTTTCCGGAGACACTCCACCTTTGGAGAGAATCCAGGCTTCAGGCTTTCCCGAGTTCACCAGAGAATCTGGGACAGAGCAGGAGCCAACACTGCAGCATGAACCCCAAGAAACCAGCTCTTCTTTCTACCGTGCACTACACAGGATTCAGCTCCAGACCCAGTGACTCGCATGTCTACCCATGAAATGGGGGTCTGAACGCGCAGTACAACAGCAAACACCCAGTTCACGTGGTCAGGAAGCCTGAGAGCTGATGCCTGTGGCTGGGTGATCTGTTCTCCACGTGCTGTAGCTGCCCACACCTCAGCGTACAGCGCTGGTTTAGATGCCGCAGGGCGGTCCTTCTGCCATCCAGCCATGTCACACCTGCTGGGCCAACGTGGCTGTTTCGAATGACCCACAGCACCTCCAGTGGCACTGGATGCCAGCAGTGGGCCCAACCTTAGATGTCTGGAGCTAAAGCTGAGCCGGCCCTGCTGCCTGCGTTCTACTGTAGAGAGGACTGTAATTGCCACTGGACCCCTGCAAACATAAAGTCACCCCCCTCATCCCTTCCTACCCCACTGCAGGAGCAAAGTGTTACCACGGCTTCTGCCAGGTAATTCTGGGTTTCACATAAACATTGTCCTGGCATAAAATTGAACAAGAAAATACTGGCTCGGGCCAGAGCACATCTCTGGCCACTTGTGAGGTCGGGGTCATTTTTAATTAGAAAAGAAAAAGAGCAAACTCTAACAAAACAAATAGTCAAAATCCGTTCGGGCTTGAGCATCCACCCTGCGCATGAGATGCCGCTTTGCAACACTTGAAAGGAGGAATGGATCATCTCTAAACCTTTGCAGAAGGAATGTGACTCGTTTGTAACACCACTGGCAGGGCTAGCTTCTTCCTAACGTCTTGTGTCAGCTAAGGTGCCTCTGGCTGTCACTGTTTTATTAATAACTGCCTGCATCAGCATCTGTCTTTATTAGCAGTTTATTTTCTTTCTCAATAGGGCTCCAGAGTAAAGAGGTCCCCTGGAAAAACGACCTTCAGCTCTTTGACTGTTGGAAAGGTCAGTAGAAACTGCAGGATTGGCTAAGCGTGCTTTTGGTTTCCACGGGTCTGCACGCTCGCAGGTGCCCTAACTCTGACTGGGATTGACGTAGGGGAACTGCCAGCATGACCAGGTCCTGTCACTTAAACTGTTGCCACCAAACAAGAATCCAGCCCCTGGGATCCGTGTGGGATACGTGGCTTCCCTCCGAGACCACGCACCGCACAGGAACAGGCCCACAGGGCACCGCGAGCGGCCGGACTCTGTGGCTGGCACACGCTGTGAGAGGTGCAGTTCCATTTCCCTGCCCAGGTGGAAGCGTTACAACCTGTTGGTCCCTTCTCTTGAGAGGCCGCCCAGCCCTGCTTACCAGGGCTGGATTGCCATGCCTGCCACATTTCGTTCTTCCGATTGTTTTGGTTAGAAGGGTAAAACAGCGATAGAATAAACCAAATTATTTTGTTATCCCACAGGCTTTTAATACCCTTGCTTTTCTTTAGCCTTTCTAACTTGGTTGTCACATGAACAGCAAGTGTAATAGCTCAACACTTGGAGGGACTAAAGTATCAGATCAGTAAAATACACACCTATACATCTTTCTTCACTTTAATGCCGTGTCCATTTGCACTTGGGTACAATAAATCTTTCCCTTAACAATAGACATGGCTCTCTACTTTTCAGGTGCTGACCCCGGGGGACTTGTCCAGTACATCCCTCTCTATTAGTCCCCTATCAAGAATGTTTCTGTTCTTGGCCCATCTCACTATTGTCTGTGTATTTCTTTTTGCTCTGCAAAATTCCCTGCAATCCACCTGGTTTTCCAGTCTGAAATTTTTCTGTACCTTGTTTCTTTTACCAAAATTTCTCATTTTAATTTTCAGTATAATTTCCCATTTAATTTCCAGTGAATCTTCGTGGCTGCACGCCAGCTAAACCTCACTGAAACCTCTCTCTGCTGCTGTACACTGGCACTGTCTTACCTGCTTGGATGGCTGGGAATGCATGAGCGCAGGTTGGTTTATGAATGCCCAAAAATGTCATCATGCCCCAGCACCGTCTTTTGTCTCTGCAGAGGGCAAAACGGGCGTTCCTTTTGTCGATGCCAACATGCGAGAGCTGGCTGCCACAGGCTTCATGTCTAACAGAGGGCGGCAGAATGTCGCCAGCTTCCTCACCAAGGACCTGGGTCTGGACTGGAGGATGGGGGCAGAATGGTTCCAATACCTGCTGGTAAGAGTGAACCCGTTCTGTATCGGAGTTGTTTGTGCTCCCAGCCCTGAGCGACAGACAGGAGGACAGCTCTGCTTCGTAAGGAAGGACACAGGAGATGATCAGTAATTTTCAGGCTGATAGAAGTGCACGTATGTACTGCTCACACGGTCTGTACTTTCCAAAGGTCACCTAAGAAAAGGGAATTTTGCCGCAGTCAACCCACCATCAACCAAGATGTAGCTCGGAAGTTTGCAGTGATAGTTTTGATCCTCCACGTAGGGTTTTAGCCAGAGATCTGTCACACTTGAGAAAACTTTCAAACGTTAATGATGTTAACAATGCTCTGATTTGAACACCCCAGAGGCTGGGGAGGAGGACAGCCCAGATATAGAACATACAAAGAAATGTGTTCTGGCCACTGCAGCCCGTGTTCGCACAGCAGCTTTGCATTGATCGCTGTGGACAGGGAAGCCATCTAGTCGAGAACAGGCCTGTAGGGACAATAGCCGGGTCAGCTTCCAGAGAGCTCCACCCTGGCTGGAGGCATCCTTCTTCACTGGGTGAGTCACAGCCCTCCCTGCCAGCTGGAGCACCAATTCGTTTCTCACATGCCAATCAGCAGCCATGGGAGCTCAGGGAAATAGCTGGGTGGCTTCTCTCTCCTCATCCCCGTAGCTTCTCCCCAGGAAGGTCTGAACAGGCTGGCAGTCCCCAGTTCAGCTCTGCGTGTCTTTCCTTGGTTGCTGTTATCGCTGGTGATCCTGATGGAGAGACCATCAGTAGCACCACGCTGAGCAGTGAAAACTGAGGCTGAGGAGGTGAATCTGCTTTTGTAGTTCACCAAACTGAACAGTACAGACTGGAGAAGACCAACTATCAGCCTCACATTAAAGATCTTGTCTGTGGGATACAAGAGGTAATCAGGAAACTTCCTGCTCCCTAGGAGGTACAGAGAAAGCCCAGTCACCTTGCCATTATCTGCAATTAAAAGAGCCTTTTCTGTGAACGTAGGGGTTTTTTCGAGCTTCCTTGGAGCTGGGCTCTGGCATGGCTTTGGCTGTGGAGATTTACAGGAGGATCTGGGTGTGCTTCCCATTGCCGTGTCTCACACCAGGGCTGTGAGCAGTGGTGGGCATGCACAGTAACACGGTGCAGGACCCACCAGAAAGCGGTGTTCGTAGCCCCATGCAGCAATGCTTTCCCAGATAAGAGCGAGAGCCTCCAGCACATGGCACCAGAGAACTTGTATCGGAAAAGTGATGGCCTTACCCTTCCTATTCCAGCTGGAATTTGGGATGGAAAGTCTTACCTTAAGTGCTTTTCTTTGGCCGTTTCAGTGGGTGGTATAAGACAGCTGATACCCCGCGCACCCGAAGCTTCCTAGCAGTGACTTGCCAAGCAGGGGCTGCATTTCAGTGTGGATGATTAATTCCTGTAGCCTGAGGGCATTGCATGTGGCACACAGTGGCCCTCCAGGAGAACAGTGCGGCACCTGCAAATACCCAAACACATCTGTGCGCGCCTGTCCTGCGGAGTGAGCCACTAGGACTGCTCTGAATGTTTTGTAGTATCTGGCTTTTGATGGCATCTATCGGCTATGGCTTTCAGAGCAGTGACAAAGGTGGCTTCATTTCACAGAGGGCAGCTTGCCTCAAGTACAGGCAAGCCTTGTACCCAACGTCACCAGCTGATTAAGAGTTGGGAGTCAGGAATTGAGGCTTTGCTCTGACAGGCAGGCAGTCTTGCCTTCCTCAAATAGGAGCTTGGTTCACTTGGCAGTCAGACTGAGAGGGCCACGGAAGGTTCTAGGTCCTGTTCCCCAAGGGAGGAAGACCTGGAAGGTGTCACGCTAGAAGGATGCTCCCTGGGTTACTCACCTTTATTCATACGGGCATGAATGTCACCAGCCTTGCTGGAAGCAGGATTTAGTGCTCTGCACTAGCTGTCTCACCTCAGGAAGCCCCAGATGCTGACTGCCACTGTAGGCTGGTGTGGGACAGGCTGATTCTTGTGCGGTTCTGTCCCTTCTTTTCAGCTTCTGTCACACGGATATTGCCAGACAGCTCTGTTACTGTGACCTGCTGGCAGCCCAGAGTAACATACAGGAGACATCATTTTGATGGGGAAGATATGGCTACAGAAGGGTAGAGGCCAGTACAGAACTGAAACTGGTCTCACTTGCCTCTAAAAAGGGAAAGCAATGCATATTTCATCTCTGATAATTCCAGCAAGGGCCCACCGAGAGTTTGCATGTGCCTGTGAGGAAGAGGGTGTTTGTCCTCCACACCAGGTCAGCAGGGAGACTGAGGCAAGCTCTCTGCAACCCGCTGAAGCCAGGGGAAAGGCCAGAGGCCTCTGGTGTCCTGAACAAGAGAATCTCTCGGCTATGATTTCATTCACAGGGTCAGGCCCCGAGGAAAGGGAGAGAAACAAACAGAAGAGAATGCCAGGAAGGGGCAAGGCTGAGGGGGAAATGTGCCTGCCTCCTCCAGTCCCCCTTGGACTTGCCCTCACCTCCCACACACACTTTCCTGCATGCTGACTGCACAATCAGGCCTCCGATGGCATCTTTCTTCATCTCCTTATCTCACCGGCTGGAGGAAGTGCTGCTGGGAAGGGGAAGCCTGGTGCACAGTGAGCATAGCCGGCTGTTGATCACCCTGAGCCCAGCTCTCGGCTGGCTGTGCAGAGAGAGGGGAAGGGAACTGGGCAGAGCCCGTTCCCCTGTGCCTTCTGCCACCTGGGTGCGTTGAACTCCTCACCTGAAGGAGTGGCTGAGATTTTGGGCCCTTCGCTGTGCGGACTGGTTGTTGCTGCGGCTGCAGTGAAGGGAGAAGAGGACAGCACTGAACCTGCTCGGTGACGTGTCTTTGCAAAGCTTCATGCTGCAGCTGCCAGCGCTTTCGCAACGGAGACACCCCACCGAGGAACGCGCAGGGATCCCACACCCTATTTTTATCGCTGCCACTCCCCTCCTGAGCTACGCTTGAAGTGTCCTACAGCTGGAAAGCTTTTGATGTTGGCTTTAAGCCACGCTGCCCAGCTGAAGGGCACTCAGATTGGACCCTGTTCTGCTCTCATTTGTGCCTGTTTCAGGAGCCTCGCTCCATTTTACACAAGCATCCTTGAGAGCTTTCCAGATGTAGAATAACGTGATGATGTGCAGCCTACCGAACACATCATGAGAGCTCTAGTGGTTCCCGGAGTAAAGCACCTCTCTCTGCCGAATCCTGTGAGTTGAGGCTTGTTGCCTGAGGAAGGCTGAGCATGGCAGCGGAAAAAACACAGTGTTTGTAGCGATTGCATCTTCATACGCTCTGTGTGGTCACTCTGTCCAGTCTGCCTAACAGGATCTGCAGAGATGATTTTCTTAGTCTGTGGTCTCTAGGTAACTGGTCAGGAAGAATTTTCACTTGTATTTGAAATGTACTGGGCTACTGTTTCTTGGAATATGAGCACTCAAAAGCTAGGGTTAGTTGTCATGAAGTCTGCCAGCTGATGGCAGAAATAGAAGGATTTTTTTAAAAAAGGGAACTGAGAGAGAGAGGCACTTTGGTTGGACTTTTATCTCACTGACCTAAGGACCAGGAAATGAAGTAGCCGGGGAAGCCGATCCCAGCGGTACAAAACAGCCACACAGCACACTCCTCTTCTGAGCCAGATGACTGCACCTACATGGGAGAGCTCCGACTGCTCCAGCGTGGCCAGGCTGATTCCCATGCAAGGAATTCTCCCCTTGAGATACAGAGTGGGTGGGGAGAGAGGATTCCCCGAGGGCCGGCCCAGCTCTTACTGTTTCCTTCCTCTGTTCTCAAGGTGGATTACGACGTTTGTAGCAATTACGGTAACTGGTTGTACAGCGCTGGGATTGGCAACGACCCGCGGGACAACAGGAAGTTTAACGTGATTAAACAAGGCCTGGATTACGATGGCAGCGTAAGTCTGGTTTGTCTGTCTTACGAAGGGTATAGCAGAGCGTAGCGGATAGTTTCAGGGAACAGAGGAGATCAATTTGCTCCGTGGGTCCTGCTGCAGAAACAGTCCTGTGATCTCCTCGCCGACAGGCAGGCAGGTTCCTCATTGTTGTACAGGAAGATCTGACGGTTACAATCTGCTGCTGTCCCCAAAGAGGCTGGTGCTCTGCACGCCCTCCCTGCCCTGCCGTTGGTCTGCGTGGTTGGTGTTTCATCGCTATTCCGGGTAACAGCCACATCCCACTAATATCTCGCACGACCGTTTCCTTGAGCACAGAGGAGCTTCTTGGAGAACTCTGAAGTGACAAGGGAGACGGAGCTGCTGCTCGGAAGGTCCTGGAGAGCAGATTAAATCTGTGACTCCTCTGCCTGTCCTCTGTGAGTGGTGGGAGCAGATAAATTGCCCTTTCCATGTGCTCAGCCAGTGCTCACGTACCGGGTTACCTGTTTCCACCCTGTTCCCTAGCTTCACAGCACTGTAGCTGGCAGGACTTAGCAAGGAATCAGAAATCAGTCCTAGCAGGGGACACAGCAGTAGAGTTAACGGGAGAGATTCAGGGGAAGGGGGGTGGGTCACACTGCCAAGAACAAGAGTGTGTGGCTGAGCTAGTCACCTGACTTCCCTTCAGTCACAGGAAAGACAAGAGGACTTCTTACGAGTGACTTCGTCTCACTGTGTCCTAAATAGGGCAGGTGACCTGCACCAAAAACCCACCTGTGTCCCCCACCGCCTGCAGAGTGAGCCCAGGAGAGGAGCTCCAGTATCTGTTTAGGCTCTAATTCTCAGTAGGGGGTTTAACAGGCAGGGCAAGAGTTGACAGGGGTGACTGATACTGTGGTACATCAGCTGAGTACCTTACCTGGAAATCAGGCTTCGTTCTTTCCTGTTAAGAAAGACCCTCGCTGGGAAGCACTTACAGATTGTTACCAAGTGGATCCTGTCCTGTTGGCTCTGTTTGCAGGGGGATTACATCCGGCTGTGGCTCCCCGAACTACGGGGCATAAAGGGAGCAGCTATCCACACCCCCTGGGCCCTGAACAGTGCTGCTCTCTCCCAGGCGGGAGTGACTCTAGGTGACACCTACCCACAGCCGGTTGTGACAGCACCAGAGTGGAGCAGACACGTCGACCAGAGGCCCGTGAGTACTGGGAAGGTTTGGCTGGGTGAGCGGGCTCCAGGCAACTGCTCTGCATCTGTAGGAGTGGCTGTGAATTCTGCTCTTCTTTCTCAGGTATAAAGGGAAAAAATGGCTTTAGCGCAAAGCCACGTCACTCCCAGCAGAGGGGGATCAGCTCTGCACAGGCACTGGGCAGCCAGGGTTCTTTACCTGCGCCTGTCCTAGCAAACTAAGCAGGTCTGGGGCACAGGCCCAAGTACCGACCTCCTGTCACCCGGCCACTTGCATCGTTACTGTGTTCCCCAGCCTGACTTTGCCAGGGGTGACCTTCCAGAGCCTTGTCCAAGGACAGTTCGAGGGCACCATGTGCTAAGGACTGTCACAAAAGACAACCTTGACGATGTCACCCTACCTCGTATGGACATAAACTGTGCCAGGCCAGCTGGCTTTAGGGCTGAAGAATGAACCTGTGAATGTTTTATTTACTATTTCCTAAGTAGCTTTTATTACTCAGGTTTTTTCCTTCTGGATATACGTAGTGCCAGATGTGAGTGGAGGCATGGGGCATCTCTGAAGGCCTCCGCTGGCCTAACCACCCCCTGGTGCAGATGGACAGAAGGAAGCCAAGGTTGATGCTCAGTTTCCATTCTGTTCATGAGGTGGAACTCCTACCATGCTTGAGTGCATCCCAACTGGAGTCAGAAAGACCAGTAAATACAGGGACTGGCCCTCGCAGTTTGCTTTTTGGGTGTATCTCCTCTTTAGAATGGGGACAGATTAAGACATGGATCCTGTGACATGTCAAGACTTGTATCTGCTGACTGGGCTGCTGTTCTTGGAGGAGATGGGTGGGGAAGGGAAGTGCTCTGTAGGCCTGGGTGGGATTGAATCATGGAATCACCAGATTGGAAAAGACATCTAAGGTCATCAAGGCCAACCATCAACCCAACACCACCATGCCCACTAGACCGTGTCCCAAAGTGCCACAACTACACCATTTTTGAACACCTCCAGGGATGGTGACTCCACGAAATCAGTCATGGTGGAGCTGGAAGGGAAGAAACAAACGTTTGTAACTGACAATTCTTGATTTTCAAGGGGTTTTCAGCACTTTGTCTCCCCTCATGCATCCTCCCTGCCCCCTCCCGCGTAAGAATACTTTGTGGAGGCTCAAATTTAGTTGTCATACGATGTTCAATGAAGAATGAAACATGTCCCCACTGTGGGTTTTAATCCCAAGGTGCAGTACCCAATTTCTCAGGCCAGTGTCCTTTGCCATGAGTAGGTTTTGTGGAAGCAAAACCTTCCGCTTCCAGCCACGCTGCTGAAGGGCCCGGATCACTACCCGTCTGCTTAAGAGTGCGTCTGGGGTCAGAGAAGGGACTCTGTGAAGGAGCTCCTCAGCGAGACGCTGCTTTGAGGCAGCGGTGAAATTTGAACCCCAAAAGCTCCTCCATCAGGCAGGAGTTTCCAGCTCACCTGGGGCTCTGTGGGGCTGCACTGCCACACTGTGAAATTCAAATACCACTGGGAGGGACTGTTGGCCCAGCGTCAGCGAGGCCTGGAGCAGAGCCTCCCCTCCCAGCCCCCCAAAACCGAGCATCAAAATACCTTTGGAAGTACAAGCCCACACCTTCCTGGAAGCCCAGGTTCCCCAAGCCCAGAGCTGTGCCGTTCAGGCCTCCCCTCCTTTTGGCGAACGTGGCCGTGGAAGTGCCGCCGGTGCTTTTTTCGGCATGGGATCAGATTCGCTCTGCAGCCCCGGTAACTACCTCACTGTTTGTCCTTTGTTTGCAGCAGGGAAGAGGTCCCCACCCCAGGGGCAGGAGAGGACCTGCACACACGCCAACGCAGCACAGAGGGACAGAGTTTTACTTTTCCCGCCAGAAAGATGCACAATGAAGGCCATCCAGGCGCGTGCTGGAGGAGCGCTCGGTGGGAGCTTTCGCTGCCGAAGATGCCAGGGTGACGGCTGATGTTGGACCGAGGCAACAATCGGAGTCTGGCCGCGACAACATGATGAGGGACTTGCCTGGTCAGCGTTCCCGGGGCCGTGGATCTCTGCGGGTTGTGGTGATGGGATCTGGTGTTCCCCCCTCGGCACGGGGAGCCCCTCGGCGTTCGCCCCTCGCTCTGCAGGAGCGGCGACCCCTCAGCGCCGAGGGTCTCGCTGTCGTGGACGGCGCATCGCGCTCGACTCCGCAACGCCCTTTGGTTGCCAGGAGCTGCCTCACTAATACCAATTAACCCAAATGGCTTCGCCTCTCTGTTTGGAGGGACTGCGGATGCTTTTCCAGCGCCTCTTGCTTTGCGCTGGTGCTTACAGCTGTTACCGATAAGTTTCTACCTCTCTACAGACCGGAGCAGATGGTTTGCGTGGCAGGTGTTCAGTCAGAACTCCTTCTCGTGACATTTCTCGTGCTAATTTTTCATGCTTTAAAGCTTTAAAACTATCGCTCATTATGCAATTAAAAGTTTTGCTACTGGAATATTTTATCTTCCTCATTTCCACAGAGATCCTCAGGCAGAGTGAGACTTCAGAGGACCTTTTTTTACTGTGTCACCTACAGTGCTTGAGAGGAACAGTAGGTTCCTCTGGAAAACTGCCCTGGAGGCCTTGCAGCGCCCAGGCTGCTTTTGGTACCAGCCTGGAACCTGGAAAATGTTCAGTTCATAGCTGAGAACTGTGTTTTGTGCTCAGCATCAAAACATAGTCTAAAATGGTTCCCTGGCCATTTTAAGCATTTTGGTTTTACGCAGATTGTTGTAGTCGCTGGAGGAGTTTGGGAATTTGGAGACAGCCGTGTTTGTGCTGTCGTGGAGCACCGTCACCCGACGGAGAGCACAGGTTTGAACTCCTCAGTCCCAAAAGCAGCCGTCTGCCAGCAGATGGGACATGGCTCTGGATTTATTACCACTAGGGATCAATCTGGGCCTCTCTTGTAAAGAGTAATACTATAATTCTATTAAATCTCTTTGAACACTTACTTGGGTAGACAGGTTCAGGCCTGGCCTGAGAAAAGAACTTGATGTGGAACACAAAAGCAAGTTTTTCCACCAAAAGGAGGCAAATCAAGTGATTTTTGAACACACACCCCTGTCAGGGCGACTTTAATAATCCCACCGTTTGTTGTATGAGGGGGATGGACAGTAATGTAACCATCATGGAGTGATTTTGGGGGGAAACAGAGGCAAACAGCTTTAGGGACAGCACTCTCTGGCAGAAGCGTCTCCCCCGACCCACACCGCGGGTCCCGCGGGTCCCCCTCCGGGGCCGCCCCACGGCTCCGTTAAGGACGGAGCGGAGCCGAAGGGCAGGGCAGAACCAGCGCTGGTCGCCTCCTTTGGAGCCAGCCCGGCCCCC